TTACTGAATTATGGCGTAGTAAGAAATATGTACTTTTAACTTTCATCTCAAACCACATATTTGCTTAAAAATCGTTGTTTTTTCCACATGTATGCGTTTATGTCAATTACGTCACTCACAAAACATTATCGTCATTTGTAAGTATTTGTTTTCCTTTCTCGATAATTTGAGGTCGTCGAATAATAAAGTGTTTACCCAGCTGTTTTGGCCGACGTAACAGCTGATCGCCAGCGCAAGCCATGGCCCATGTTATCCTTTCTCCTTACTCGCCAGGCAGTCAACAGGAAAACTATCCACGTTCAAGTGGGCGTGCTTAACCCGAGGTGTGAATGACCACTTCGCCAAACCCTAAATTGATCGTAACGGAAAATGAAAAATGCCGCAGGTTTTGATTACAACAAACGTTTTTGATAACACAAGCTATGTTTATACTTACGGGCGGACCCGGAGAACGTCGTACGTTTCAGCCTTTTTCTGTAGCTTTTTTTCCTGTTTTTGACTTAATCGTAGTGTTTTAAGATTTAAAAGTCAAACATGTACTGAAGAGAAGAGTTGGCGACAATAAAAAAAGCAACAAAACCCTTTCCATCGCAACGAGAAAGGCATTGGCAGAATAGCCTAATTGAAACGAAGGAGTAGCACCCATGAAGGTCCGGGGTAGAATAGGTCTTCAGCAACCCATGCTTGCCGTAAAAGGCGACTATGCTTGTCGTAAGAGGCGACTAACGGGATCGGGTGGTCAGGCTCGCTGACTTGGTTGATGCATGTTATTGTATCCCAGTAGCGTAGATCGATGCTTTTGATGTCAATCACTGGATTGTCACTACAGACTGCATATAGTTGGAATATTGCTGAGTGATGCATTAAACTACGAACAAACAAAAGAGACGAGCTAAATGAAGAGATGGCTAGTAGAAGAGAACTCACTCAAGACCTAAGTGTAGAAATGGGCTACCACAGGAGAACGACCAAGTGAAGAGATGGGTTTGTTCAAGAGAACGACCTAGTGAAGAGATGGGTTAGTTCAAGAGAACGACCAAGTGAAGAGATGGGTTAGTTCAAGAGAACGACCAAGTAAAGAGATGGGTTAGCACAGGAGAACGACCAAGTAAAGAGATGGGTTAGCACAAGAGAACGACCAAGTAAAGAGATGGGTTAGCACAGGAGAACGACCAAGTAAAGAGATGGGTTAGTTCAAGAGAACGACCAAGTAAAGAGATGGGTTAGTTCAAGAGAACGACCAAGTGAAGAGATGTGTTAGTTCAAGAGAACGACCAAGTAAAGAGATGGGTTAGCACAGGAGAACGACCAAGTGAAGAGATGGGTTAGTTTAAGAGAACGACCAAGTGAAGAGATGGGTTAGTTCAAGAGAACGACCAAGTAAAGAGATGGGTTAGCTCAAGAGAACGACCAAGTGAAGAGATGGGTTAGTTCAAGAGAACGACCAAGTAAAGAGATAGGTTAGTTCAAGAGAACGACCAAGTGAAGAGATGGGTTAGTTCAAGAGAACGACCAAGTGAAGAGATGGGTTTGTTCAAGAGAACGACCTAGTGAAGAGATGGGTTAGTTCAAGAGAACGACCTAGTGAAGAGATGGGTTAGTTCAAGAGAACGACCTAGTGAAGAGATGGGTTAGTTCAAGAGAACGACCTAGTAAAGAGATGGGTTAGTTCAAGAGAACGACCAAGTGAAGAGATGGGTTAGTTCAAGAGAACGACCAAGTGAAGAGATGGGTTAGTTCAAGAGAACGACCTAGTGAAGAGATGGGTTAGTTCAAGAGAACGACCTAGTGAAGAGATCGGCTAGCACAAGAGAACGACCTAGTAAAGAGATGGGTTAGTTCAAGAGAACGACCAAGTAAAGAGATGGGTTAGCACAGGAGAACGACCAAGTAAAGAGATGGGTTAGCACAGGAGAACGACCAAGTAAAGAGATGGGTTAGTTCAAGAGAACGACCAAGTAAAGAGATGGGTTAGCACAGGAGAACGACCAAGTAAAGAGATGTGTTAGTTCAAGAGAACGACCAAGTAAAGAGATGGGTTAGCACAGGAGAACGACCAAGTGAAGAGATGGGTTAGTTCAAGAGAACGCCCAAGTAAAGAGATGGGTTAGCACAAGAGAACGACCAAGTGAAGAGATGGGTTAGTTCAAGAGAACGACCAAGTAAAGAGATAGGTTAGTTCAAGAGAACGACCAAGTGAAGAGATGGGTTAGTTAAAGAGAACGACCAAGTGAAGAGATGGGTTAGCACAGGAGAACGACCAAGTAAAGAGATGGGTTAGCACAGGAGAACGACCAAGTGAAGAGATGGGTTAGTTCAAGAGAACGACCATGTAAAGAGATGGGTTAGCACAGGAGAACGACCAAGTAAAGAGATGGGTTAGTTCAAGAGAACGACCAAGTAAAGAGATGGGTTAGCACAGGAGAACGACCAAGTAAAGAGATAGGTTAGTTCAAGAGAACGACCAAGTGAAGAGATGGGTTAGCACAGGAGAAAGACCAAGTGAAGAGATGGGTTAGTTCAAGAGAACGACCAAGTAAAGAGATGGGTTAGCACAGGAGAACGACCAAGTAAAGAGATGGGTTAGTTCAAGAGAACGACCAAGTAAAGAGATGTGTTAGCACAGGAGAACGACCAAGTAAAGAGATGGGTTAGTTCAAGAGAACGACCAAGTGAAGAGATGGGTTAGCACAGGAGAACGACCAAGTAAAGAGATAGGTTAGTTCAAGAGAACGACCAAGTGAAGAGATGGGTTAGCACAGGAGAACGACCAAGTAAAGAGATGGGTTAGTTCAAGAGAACGACCAAGTAAAGAGATGGGTTAGCACAAGAGAACGACCAAGGAAAGAGATGGGTTAGCACAGGAGAACGACCAAGTGAAGAGATGGGTTAGCACAGGAGAACGACCAAGTAAAGAGATGGGTTAGTTCAAGAGAACGACCAAGTAAAGAGATGGGTTAGCACAGGAGAACGACCAAGTAAAGAGATGGGTTAGTTCAAGAGAACGACCAAGTAAAGAGATGGGTTAGCACAGGAGAACGACCAAGTAAAGAGATGGGTTAGTTCAAGAGAACGACCAAGTGAAGAGATGGGTTAGCACAGGAGAAAGACCAAGTGAAGAGATGGGTTAGTTCAAGAGAACGACCAAGTAAAGAGATGTGTTAGCACAGGAGAACGACCAAGTAAAGAGATGGGTTAGTTCAAGAGAACGACCAAGTGAAGAGATGGGTTAGCACAGGAGAACGACCAAGTAAAGAGATGGGTTAGTTTAAGAGAACGACCAAGTGAAGAGATGGGTTAGCACAGGAGAACGACCAAATAAAGAGATGGGTTAGTTCAAGAGAACGACCAAGTAAAGAGATGGGTTAGCACAAGAGAACGACCAAGTAAAGAGATGGGTTAGCACAGGAGAACGACCAAGTGAAGAGATGGGTTAGCACAGGAGAACGACCAAGTAAAGAGATGGGTTAGTTCAAGAGAACGACCAAGTAAAGAGATGTGTTAGCACAGGAGAACGACCAAGTGAAGAGATGGGTTAGCACAAGAGAACGACCAAGTGAAGAGATGGGTTAGCACAGGAGAACGACCAAGTAAAGAGATGGGTTAGTTCAAGAGAACGACCAAGTAAAGAGATGTGTTAGCACAGGAGAACGACCAAGTGAAGAGATGGGTTCGCACAGTAGAACGACCAAGTAAAGAGATCGGCTAGCACAAGAGAACGAGTGTAAAGAACGGCGAGGTGACGAGAAGGATAAGGAGTTTTCTCAAGGGTTAAATCTGAAACAGATTAAATCTTAGAAATAGCTATCAAAGTTATCAGATTTGTTCATGTTTAACTTTCCCACACTGAGTGAGTGAGTGAGTGAGTGAGTGAGTGAGTGAGTTAAAGCTTTACGTCACATCGGCAATATCTCAGCCATATCGTGACCACACTGAGAGAACCCGGGATATAGAAGAAAGGATTAAACGCGTCAACAGGGATGATATTAGGGTTTTTTATGTGACCTTTGTCCAATTATCGAACGATTTGACCCAAGCTGATTTTGTAGAGAGATCTTGGTGAAGATAGCACAAACATCTGGGAAAATCTCATTGTGTGTTGCAGAATTGCTTATGGTTAGATGTCCACTTCATTCTACGTTTTTACTCTATTGTCATTCCTCATCTTCTTGATCATGAAATAGTCCAGCAATATCAAGGCGGCAGACACCACATATGGGCTTCACACATTGTACTCATATGGGAAAGCGAACCCCGGTCTTCGGAATGACGAGCGAACGCTTTAACCCCAAGCCTAACGCCTTCCCGCCCTCTTATTCATTATCAAAACTTGAAAGTGTAGTGGTTACTCATATGCATATCTTCGATAATTTTCATAACAATATTTCAGTTCTCAGTCACTTTCAATTTGTATCACCCAGTGTGTGATACCTCGTCCGGATGTTTCCAGGTTCTAAGTAGCAGAACCTAAATATCCATTGTTATCATACCTAAGTTACCGAAAAATACATGGAAATCTGTCGTAACATTAAGTAACACAGTTAGCCAAACCTAAAATTCTGAGTGCTATTCATTTGAAATATATATAATTTAGATTGAAACATATAATCTTTGAAAGGCAATTAGAAGTGATTCAGATAAGGAAGAGAATATATGGATGTCAACTTCTTTATTATGAGGAACGCAACTTTTCGGAGAAAACGCTTACTCCTTCATCAGGTGAAATGATTTCACCCGATGAAGGAGTAAGCATATATAATAACGAGTTCTATAAAAATGTGTTGTAAATAAAATACACCTGAATATGCACCCGTGAAGATCCGGGTTAGAATAAGTCTTCAGCAACCCGATCTTGCAGTAAAAGGCGACTATGCTTGTCATGAGAGGCGACTAACGGGATTGGGTGGTCGTCAGTAATTGCGACATCCGGACGTTCAGGGCCCAGGAAACGCTTTATATGAATAGAAAATGAAGAAATAGCAATACAAAAAAGAAAACAATTTAAATTTTAAATATGTAATCATGTTTTAATTGGACACCACCTGTATGATCTGGAGGTTGGTTGTCACGTTTAATGGAGAAGAAGGTTACCGTTATACGAGCGTATTCTGCAACCTCCTCAGACAGTCAGCCACCATGTCGACATTGCCTACACATATGTACGTCACATAGGCCAGGTGTCTCGGGCTGGCGTCGGGGAAAGGCCGCTTTCTGAATACGACGTGCATAGAATTGGTCTTGTTGGCGAAGTTGCCGTCGTGCTGGCCAGTCAGGTAGTACATGAACATGTCAGTGTCCTGTCCGTCTGGAGCATACACACCCAGGGCATACTTGTGATCAGGGGTTGTGTAGATGGGCGGCCAGGTACTCTTTGTGTGTGGCTGCAGTTGGTGGTTCTCGGGATTGTAGTTCAGAAGGTTGGTGAAGTTAGCAGTCAAGTACACTGCTGGAGCGACCAGATTGATGAAGTCGTATTTAGGCCATTTGCCCGCAATTTCAAAACCGGATTCATACTTGATGCAATAGTCGACTCCAGCACAGCCGATGGTGACGACCTTGGAGAAGGCGTGGTTGTAGGTGTCGACTGTGTTGACGGCTGGGGAGCCCCGCATACACACTCGCGTCCTGTTGTTCACCTCGTGACTGCCAGCTCGGATCCAGAAGGCAGGATATACCTGTGACAAGGGGGCGTTGACTTAAAGTTAAACAAGTTTTGACAAATAAACAATTTTAAAACATTAAACACGCCAATCTGAACTTTTAAATGTGTGACTGAATTTATTATCCGACGCTTTTGGCAATATTCCAGCAATATTACGGCTTGGGACATTGTACCCATGTAAGGAATCGAACCCGCGACTTCGGCGTAGCGGTGGAACGCTTTAACAACTAGGCTATCCAACCGCCCCAATATGAACAGTCGCATTAAGAAAACCGTGAAGAACATGTACAATGTACAGTTACAGTGACATGTCTGTACTGATATCCGAGTGAGTGAGTGAGTGAGTGAGTGAGTGAGTGAGTGAGTACTGCCTCATGCTCAACAGCAATCTTGCAGCTATTGAGTACTGATATCCGAATTGATGCGAGAATCGTGAACCGTCAATCATTTCCTTAATAAACGAAACATATATATGTATTTATCAAATGTCTAATTAAATCCACGCTACATTTAAGATATATAATCTGAAACGGAAAAGTTGGTTTGTGTACCATCGTGATTGTGCGATAGGCGAATGTTACTGAAAGAATATTAGAACACCTTATCAAAGATGGGTTTTCAGGCGTTGACTTTTATGCTTTTAATCTTTGTCTGGTAACGTATCGGGGGTCAGGTATGTATTATTTGTTTTGTCTGAAGATAGAAAAAAATACTGAGATGCAGTTGCGTGACAACACAGACAGTATGGCGATTTTTATCTTACCTAACAACCAAGACAATGAGGTAGTTTATGCCTTATCTGACAACTAAGATAATGTGGTGATTTATGTCTTATCTGACAACTAAGACAAGGTGGTGGTTTATGTCTTATCTGACAACCCAGACACTATTGTGGTTTATGTCCTTCCTGGAAGCCCACACAAATATGGTGGTTATGTCCTAGCTGACCACCAAGACGATATGGTGGTTTATGTCCTACCTGACAAACCAGACAATATGGTGGTTTATGTGGTACCTGACAACACATACAATATGGTGGTTTATGTCCTACCTGACAACCCAGACACTATGGTGGTTTATGTCCTACCTGACAACACATACAATATGGTGGTTTATGTCCTACCTGACTATACATACAATATGGTGGTTTATGTCCTACCTGACTATACATACAATATGGTGGTTTATATCCTACCTGACTACACATACAATTTGATGGTTTATGTCCTACCTGACTATACATACAATATGGTGGTTTATATCCTACCTGACAACCCAGACACTATGGTGGTTTATGTGGTACCTGACTATACATACAATATGGTGGTTTATGTCCTACCTGTCTACACATACAATATGGTGGTTTATGTGGTACCTGACAACACATACAATATGGTGGTTTATATCCTACCTGACAACACATACAATATGGTGGTTTATATCCTACCTGACAACACATACAATATGGTGGTTTATATCCTACCTGACTATACATACAATATGGTGGTTTATGTCCTACCTGACTATACATACAATATGGTGGTTTATATCCTACCTGACTACACATACAATTTGATGGTTTATGTCCTACCTGACTATACATACAATATGGTGGTTTATATCCTACCTGACAACCCAGACACTATGGTGGTTTATGTGGTACCTGACAACACATACAATATGGTGGTTTATGTCCTACCTGACAACCCAGACACTATGGTGGTTTATGTCCTACCTGACTATACATACAATATGGTGGTTTATGTCCTACCTGACTACACATACAATATGGTGGTTTATGTCCTACCTGACTATACATACAATATGGTGGTTTATGTCATACCTGACTACACATACAACATGGTGGTTTATGTCCTACCTGACAACCCAGACACTGTGGTGGTTTATGTCCTACCTGACTACACATACAATATGGTGGTTTATGTCCTACCTGACTACACATACAATTTGATGGTTTATGTCCTACCTGACTACACATACAAGATGGTTGTATATGTCCTACCTGACTACACGTACACTATGGTGGTTAAAGTCTCACTGTTGATGTCATCACGTTGGCGTTGACTGTAATATTTTGCAGGACAGACTTCGTGGTAGGCGACTTATAATCGCTTGCCCCTCCAGCCTCGGTTGGGTTGAAACATTCACCGTATGGTATAGCATTGATGGTTGTCTGAATCTCTCGCCCATGGTCCCATGCGTTGATGAATTCCTTCTTGCCCCAGACCAGACTGTCTATTGCGCCTCCCATGCGTGCAGAGGCGCTGATGAAGAGGTGACCGACTGACATGGTGTAGCGCCCGTTGTAGCCGCCCAACACGTACCCCTGCAGATGCTCGTACTGCCCAAACTCCAGGAAATGTTTGATGGCTGCTTTGTAATCCTGACCAAAAGCCCGGGAGATCTCAGCATTCCTAGAGTGAGTGAGTGAGTCAGCGAGTATGTTTATACCCAGTCTTGGTCACATCCTAGCAAAACATCGGTTGGGGACTCCATAAATGAGCTTCGGGAATCGGGAATCGAAGTCGGGTCTTACGCGTGGCAAACGAAGGCTTATCCCATAGGCTAAACCATTTCCCCCCTACACGCCTAGATCAGCAGTACCTTGTTGTGACACACACAGCTAAACCATTCCCTGTAATGTCAGAAGAAATTACAGAAAGAGTTTAGGATAAATAATAAATAAAATATCTGCCTGGCAATAGTATTCTTCTTTCCATTACTTCATGATAAACTGAAGATCTGCCTAAGAGGTGTGTTTTTTTGTCTGGAAATATTGATATCAACCCCTGGCTTAATGCTACTTTCAAAATTTAAATTACATGTGTGTGTGTGTGTGTGTGTGTGTGTGTGTGTGTGTGTGTGTGTGTGTGTGTGTGTGTGTGTGTGTGTGTGTGTGTGTGTGTGTGTGTAAAACTCTGCGTGTCGTTACCAGGTACCGCTGGTTGGTCTCGGCGTGTAGTGGCGGTGGTGGAGACTTTGGGTAAATATACAACTGTTATAGTGAGCTATGTGTACCTCTTCAGATACTGCTTGGAGTGGAACTGCCCGGACCCCTGTCTTCCCTCATCAATGCCATGGTTCAGCCAGTGATCTTTGGCGATCTGGGGTGTGGCCAGCTGACCAAGGTCGCTGTACGCGTTGACGTAAAACACAGGGTCAAACACCAGCGGGTGGGCGTAGTCGGGGTGAAACACATGTGATCCCATGTGGACATCTCCTGCGTGCAATGATGTAGTCAAAATAAGCAAGTTAGGTTTCATGTATGATTATTATATTATGAATGTTATGAGTAGTATTTATATAGGGATCCAGCTGTAGATGCAGTCTACTAATAACTCGACCAGAGATACAAGACTTAAAACAGGAGCAACGATCCAGGACATAAGTGAATCAGACACGTCAACCCGGCTACACTTGTGACAAGCATGAGGTACTTGGGTACCATTCTGGGCCGGTATCTCCTCACGGGCAATGTTAGCTTTCGGAAGTATAACTGGAGCGCAAGACAGCAGCTATTGCACGAACCGATCAGATTAATTAATTAATATGGTTACCCGACTGTATTATGTGCCTGAAGATCATATACGTGGGTATAAAACTACAGGAGGAGACAGCCGTGAAGGCTCCGATACGGAATGTTGTGGACCACGAATTCACAATTCAGACACACTTCCACAGGGTTTTGCGAATGTTCGGTGTTAGTGATCTGACTGTGCAGCACGCTCCTTCATGAACAAACACTTTCGGGAACAGTGCCACATAGTACACTTGGAAGGGGACACTGATGGTAAACGTAACTAGAAATAAGGGGCCAACATAGTACACTTGGAAGGGGACACTGATGGTAAACGTAACTAGAAATAAGGGGCCAACATAGTACATTTGGAAGGGGACACTGATGGTAAACGTAACTAGAAATAAGGGGCCAACATAGTACACTTGGAAGGGGACACTGATGGTAAACGTAACTAGAAATAAGGGGCCAACATAGTACACTTGGAAGGGGACACTGATGGTAAACGTAACTAGAAATAAGCGGCCAACATAGTACACTTGGAAGGGGACACTGATGGTGAACGTAACTAGAAATAAGGGGCCAACATAGTACACACTGGCTGCATGTCGCCATGCTAAACTTTGTACATTAAATCAAATTGAAAGTCGCGATTGTGGTCGGGAACAGCACACTGATAGAGACCCAGGTCTATCTGTAGTCGTTCATGGCAAATGGATACAGCTGGATAGAACAGTGTCAGCGGTATATATGTGCATAACTAACAAAGAACGCATTAATACGTGAATTGTGCTTGTTGGTTTAACAGCGTGTTAATCTTGACAGTCACGTTTGGTTTTACGAATAGAAAAAGTGCGGATTTAGTTTATTACCACCTACTACTACAAATAACAATAATGAGCCTAACCAGCCTGACAATGTCAGAATCACATGAATCCTCCATGCTGCATTTATTTATTTATTTTAATCTGTAACGAAAAATAATAAGTCATATGCAGATTTACCCGTGGCTCCGACAAGCAGCAGTAACACCATCCACAGAGCCATGTTGCTGTAGATAGACTGTCTGTCTATCTTGGGTCTACCGTGAGAAGCAGGGCAGTTTCGCACAGACTTCAGGCTTGGTGACAACACTATCTAGCAGTGATCTTAAATTCGTTCATGGCGTTTCCAGTGTCACGCATCTGTTTCATTGTTTATGTTTAATGTGTATTGAGTGACCCAGTTGTCTCAAGTACATGATTGTCTGCCTGGGCCGTGACAGGGGTTTGTTTATCTTAATCAGACATACTCACGCATGTGGTAAATGAACAACTCACTCACTAACTCACTCAGTAATTATTTCCTCTGTATGTGGAACACCATGACAGGCAGGGTCAGCTCAGCAGGGCGTAATTGATGGAACTCCGACAAGCACTACTTATGTCGGTCGCATAAAGTCTTGCAACATTGACCTAATGTATACGGTGCTTATCTGTCTACATAACACATAGGCCCAGGATAAATTCAAATCGACTCTTAACGAACATCATACAAATCAGCACTTCCTTAAAAGCGTGAATGAGTTGGAGTTCCGCGTAAGTATTTATGCCGCTTGTAGAAATATTAGGCGAATATAATGACGGAGAGAGCCCTACAATAAGAGAGTGAGGTTTCTGCCGCTTGTAGCAATATTACGCAAACATAAAGACGGAGAGAGCCCTACAAAGAGAGAGTGGGTTTATGTCGCTTGTAGCAATATAAGGCGAATATAATGACGGGGAGAGCCCTACAAAGAGAGAGTGGGGTTTATGTCGCTTGTAGCAATATTACGCGAACATAATGACGGAGAGAGCCTTACAAAGAGAGAGTGAGGTGTCTGCCGCTTGTAGCAATATTACGCGAACGTAATGACGGAGAGAGCCCTACAAAGAGAGAGTGATCATGAGGTTTATGTCGCTTGTAGCAATATTAGGCGAATATAATGACGGAGACAGCCCTACAAAGAGAGAGTGAGGTTTATGTCGCTTGTAGCAATATTATGCGAACATAATGACGGAGAGAGCCCTACAAAGAGTGAGTGGGGTTTATGTCGCTTGTAGCAATATTACGTGAACATAATGACGGAGAGAGCCCTACAAAGAGAGGGTGATCATGAGGTTTATGTCGCTTGTAGCAATATTAGGCGAATATAATGACGGAGAGAGCCCTACAAAGAGAGAGTGGGTTTTATGTCGCTTGTAGCAATATTACGCGAACATAATGACGGAGAGAGCCCTACAAAGAGAGAGTGAGGTTTATGTCGCTTGTAGCAATATTATGCGAACATAATGACGGAGAGGGCCTTACAAAGAGAGAGTGGGGTTTATGTCGCTTGTAGCAATATTACGCGAACATAATGACGGAGAGAGCCCTACAAAGAGAGAGTGATCATGAGGTTTATGTCGCTTGTGGCAATATTAGGCGAATATAATGACGGAGAGAGCCCTACAAAGAGAGAGTGGGTTTTATGTCGCTTGTAGCAATATTACGCGAACATAATGACGGAGAGAGCCCTACAAAGAGAGAGTGGGGTTTATGTCGCTTGTAGCAATATTATGCGAATATAATGACGGAGAGAGCCTTACAAAGAGAGAGTGGGGTTTATGTCGCTTGTAGCAATATTACGCGAACATAATGACGGAGAGAGCCCTACAAAGAGAGAGTGATCATGAGGTTTATGTCGCTTGTAGCAATATTATGTGAATATAATGACGGAGAGAGCCTTACAAAGAGAGAGAGTGAGGTTTATGTCGCTTGTAGCAATATTAGGCGAATATAATGACGGAGAGAGCCCTACAAAGAGAGAGTGGGGTTTATGTCGCTTGTAGCAATATTACGCGAACATAATGACGGAGAGAGCCCTACAAAGAGAGAGTGAGGTGTCTGCCGCTTGTAGCAATATTACGCGAACGTAATGACGGAGAGAGCCCTACAAAGAGAGAGTGATCATGAGGTTTATGTCGCTTGAAGCAATATTATGCGAATATATTAACGGAGACAGCCCTACAAAGAGAAAGTGAGGTTTATGTCGCTTGTAGCAATATTATGCGAACATAATGAAGGAGAGAGCCCTACAAAGAGTGAGTGGGGTTTATGTCGCTTGTAGCAATATTACGCGAACATAATGACGGAGAGAGCCCTACAAAGAGAGAGTGATCATGAGGTTTATGTCACTTGTAGCAATATTAGGCGAATATAATGACGGAGAGAGCCCTACAAAGAGAGAGTGGGTTTTATGTCGCTTGTAGCAATATTAGGCGAACATAATGACGGAGAGAGCCCTACAAAGAGAGAGTGAGGTTTATGTCGCTTGTAGCAATATTATGCGAATATAATGACGGAGAGAGCCTTACAAAGAGAGAGTGGGGTTTATGTCGCTTGTAGCAATATTACGCGAACATAATGACGGAGAGAGCCCTACAAAGAGAGAGTGGGGTTTATGTCGCTTGTAGCAATATTACGCGAACATAATGACGGAGAAATGCCTACAAAATGAGAGTGAGGTTTATGTCGCTTGTAGCAATATTAGGCGAATATAATGACGGAGAGAGCCCTACAAAGAGAGAGTGGGGTTTATGTCGCTTGTAGCAATATTATGCGAACATAATGACGGAGAGAGCCTTACAAAGAGAGAGTGAGGTTTATGTCGCTCGTAGTAATATTACGCGAACATAATGACGGAGAGAGCCCAACAAAGAGAGAGTGAAGTTTATGTCGCTTGTAGCAATATTAGGCGAATATAATGACGGAGACAGCCCTACAATGACAGAGTGATGTTTATGTCGCTTGTAGCAATATTATGCGAACATAATGACGGAGAGAGCCCTACAAAGAGAGAGTGAGGTTTATGTCGCTCGTAGTAATATTACGCGAACATAATGACGGAGAGAGCCCAACAAAGAGAGAGTGAAGTTTATGTCGCTTGTAGCAATATTAGGCGAATATAATGACGGAGACAGCCCTACAATGACAGAGTGATGTTTATGCCGCTGGTGACAATATTACACGAATACCATTAATGAGCTAGTAACCATTTTCTTCGTGAATTCAATTGAAGGACAACATTGTATATCCAAAATGTAATTGTAAATAAAGAAATACTATACTCGACATAACACTGCTCCTAATCTTTGTTTAATTTCCTGTTCACTTGAAGTATGTTTACAGATTCAGCTTTCTTACTTCTACTCGTCTCTCCTTGAAAGTCCTACGTCTCCAGTCTTGACATTTCCTTGCCACGCCCTACCCACTGTGTCACGTTTACTCCCATTGGGCTTCACACGGTTTCAAAACAAACTCACCATCAGTGTCTAAACATGGTCAGTGGTTTGGAAATCGTTGCAGAGAGTGTTAGTGAGGTAATTGTTTTTTTTTTTCAAAACGTCAAGGCCAGAGAATAATCGATGTCAAATATGGGCTTATAATTAAAACAGTGCTGTCAATTATATGAATGGATCACTGAAAATCAGTGATGACACCATTTGTTCCAGAAATTGGTAGGCATGTCCTGCCTACAGACATCACTCCAACTTCACACGGTGTTCATTCAAAGTGTACGAGTCCGTTACCAAGGGTACATGAAACTCCATATAAAGGTCATAGAATGGGATAGCATCGCACACCATGGTGAAAAGAGACGTATTATAGTTAAAACAAACCTCCGAATATTTGCCCCAAATTCCTTCTATAACTTAACCAGACTTTGATGGTGAAACCTGGAACAAAAAGCTCAGTTGTCAGCATTGTGTGTCTTTCCAAGAAATTTGACTGTAATGAAATGTAGACACCATGAACTAGAGCTGATAGTATATAGAGCATTGCAGGACCAAAAAGTGGAGCAATGACGTCGATATATGCCACCTTGTTACTGATAGAGCATTGAAAGACCAACCACAATGGATCCATCGTGTGGTTATATGCCACCTTATTACTGATAGAGCATTGACAGACCAACCCATGTGGAGCCATAATGTTCTTAAATGCCACCTTGTTACTGATAGAGCATTGACAGACCAACCAATGTGGAGCCATAATGTTCTTATATGCCACCTTGTTACTGATAGAGCATTGAAAGACCAAACACAGAGGATCCATCGTGTGGTTATATGCCACCTTGTTACTGATAGAGCATTGACAGACCAAACACGTGGAGCCATGACGTCGATAAATGTCACCTTCTTACTGATAGAGCATTGACAGACCATCCCATGTGGAGCCATAATGTTCTTATATGCCACCTTGTTACTGATAGAGCATTGACAGACCAAACACGTGGAGCCATGACGTCGATAAATGTCACCTTGTTACTGATAGAGCATTGACAGACCAACCCAAGTTGAGCCATAATGTTCTTATGTGCCACCTTGTTACTGATAGAGCTTTGACAGACCAACCCATGAGGAGCCATAATGTTCTTATATGCCACCTTATCACTGATACAGCATTGCAGGACCAAACAGGTGGAGCCATGACGTCGATATGTCACCTTGTTACTGATAGAGCATTGATAGACCAACCCATGTGGAGCCATAATGTTCTTAAATGCCACCTTGTTGCTGATAGAGCATTGACATACCAACCCATGTGGAGCCATAATGTTTTTATATGCCACCTTATTACTGATAGAGCATTGACAGACCAACCCATGTGGAGCCATAATGTTCTTATATGCCACCTTGTTACTGATAGAGCATTGACAGACCAACCCATGAGGAGCCATAATTTTCTAAATGTCACCTTGTTACTGATGGAGCATTAAAGGACTAACCCGTGTGGAGCCATAATGTTCTTATATGCCACCTTATTACTGATAGGCAATTAAAGGACAAAACAAGTGGATCCATGACGTCGATATATGTCACCTTGTTACTGATATATCCATGCCCGATAGATAATTCCTACTAAAGAACTCCGGGAAGATCCGGCTAAGAATTCGTCTTCATGCTTGTCGTAAGAGGATACTAACGGGATCGGATGTTCAGGTGGTCAGAGTGTGGCGCTAAACGACACACAAACAAAGCTACTTAATATGTGTGTTGAGAATACATGGAATCAATCAGCAGACAGTGGTGATTGTGAGGAGGAAGTCATAGTTCTCTTCTGCGT